ACTTAAAATACGTAAAATATTGTCACCACAATGACCTAATCTACGATGCCACACAGGGCCAGTGACGAGAACTGAAGATAAAGCTAAGCTAGATGGTGGACTCAGGCTGAGAGGATATAGGTGGCCATTAGTTGTTGCCCGAAGAAGAACCGCCCCCGAAATTTTGTCCTTAACAAAAAAGGAATTTTTGTCAAAAATAGCAACACAGTTGTTATCAGCACACAATTTTTGAATGGAAATTAAATTGTATTTAATATTAGGAACATGATAAACAGATTTCAATAGCAACGGGCGGGTAGAGGAATTTAGTGAAATATCACCAACATGTTTGATAGGGAGTTGAGCACCATTAGCAACACTAACAATAGTTGGACCAGAATAAATAGATTTATTTGTCAAAATACCTTCAGAGGAAGTCATATGAGCAGAGGCACCAGTGTCTGGATACCACAGGGCTTCATTAGCTTGACCGGTGAGAAGTACAGGTGCAGATGGTGGTGAAAAACGGGAAGGACAGCTGATTGCAGAATGGCCTGCAGAAAAACAAATTTGACAAACAACAGGAGGGGGAATTGCCCCAAGAATTCCCTCAGCAGATGGTGAGCCTGCAGACTGAACATTAGTACCACAAGATAGTATAACATTAGTATTTAAAGTGGACAAAATAGAATTACTTATAGCACCTGCATTTGGAGATCTCAGAGGCTGCTGTACACCATGGGGTTGGCCGAACCCCTGTAGAATAGGTTGCCCTTGCTGCTGGCCTGGACCGTAACCCTGCTGGCCGTATCCTTGCTGGCCTTGACCGTAACCCTGCTGGCCATACTGTTGATTGCCACGGCCTCTGCCGCGGCCACCACCTCTGTCGCGGCCACCTCTGCCGCGGCCACCACGTCCTCCTCTCGGTGCATTCCCGCGTTCTTGTACGCCAAAGGCTTGGTAAGCAGGTGGAGAGACCTGTTGGCGAAGGTAAAGAACACGTTGTTCGGCCTCTAACAGACTGCGATGAAGTATATCTGACGGAAAATTCTCAGGGAGAAGAGAAATAGTGCCCATAGTAGATTCATATTCCGGCCCAAGCCCCATAAGAGTGGTTTGAAGAACTTCTTTATCGGACACCGGAGAATTGATTGCAGCCAGTTCACTAACTATTTGATGAATTTCCCTTAAATAATTCTCCATAGACTGATTTTCCTTCTTTTTTATATTTGTCAACAGACGCCTAAGTGTCATAGACCTAGCTAGACTAGCAGACCGAAAATGATTTTGCAATCTTTCCCAAATCTCAAAAGAATGTTTAAGCTCATGTACATCAATTAATACGTCACGAGTAAGAGTAGCAAAAATCCAAGAACGAATGGTTTGATCAACTCGGAGCCAATGATAATAATCAGTATTAATGATTTGGCGATTATTAAAATCAACCGTGTACATTGGAGGTACCTGTGTGGAACCATCCAAGAAGCTAAACACACCTTGAGAGACTAGAAAAGATTCAATTTGAGTACGCCAAGTGATGTAATCTTCCACCGCCTTAAGCTTGATTGTAACAATTTGAGTTACATTATTTGCCGGAGAGATGGCTTGAGCAACCGCGGCCATTGGAGACTGAAACAGAGAATTATCCGGCGGCCGAGACAAGCCAGGAGTACCCGAGAATGTAGAGCCAAAGTACCCTGGACTGGTTTGCGTCGGTTGCCTGGCAGAGATCATCGGAGTTGAGAAGAGGCTGCTTGGAATGTTTGGTAAGGCAGTTGGCTGCCATGGGAACACTGGAGGTATTGTCTGAAACATGGTGAATGCTCCATCGGCACCGAAGGGGGAAGAAGCAGGGTTAATGACCGAACCTGCTTGAGATGGAGGCACCTGCTGCGGTTCAGTCATGGTGACTGGAGCGCTGGTGATGACGACGCCCGCGTCGGTAAAGGAAGAAGAAGCCGGCGCCGTGGTCGAAGATGTAGCAGCAACGGTGAAGGCATCCATGGAGGAGCTGGAGAATTCGGCGGAGGAGGAGGCTGCGGCCGAACTCATCGCGTGAGAAGAAGAACGAGGGTTTAGAGGAGAGAGGAAAAAATTTAGGCTCTTGATACCATGTGAAATAATGGGAAAGGTTACCCAATAGGGTACCTGGCAGATATATTTATAATAAAAGAGTTTCCAAAAATACAAAGTATTCCTAATTTAATATTAGGTTATTAACAGATACATGTTAGCTAAATAGACGTGTTGAGATTTATTCCTTCAACCTTTGGGTCCAACACGTAAGCTCAAAGATCTCGAGTGGATTGTGTATGTGTGTATGAATAACTAACCCAACAAGCAATAAGATGGACTAAGAGACAGTTAATAACAAGTAAAAGAACGAATATTATTAATCAATAATAAACCCCCGATACAATACGCTTGTTAAGGGCCAAAGGCCGTTCGTCTTATGCTACAGTAGAAGAGCTGCGAGTAATAAGCTAGGATGCTAAGCCTAATAAGTTGCCAACCCCTTACGATGAAATAAATGCTACTATTTATACCACCAATGGGCAGTTGACCATGATGATGTGGAGAGTTGTGAATGGCTTATGTTCCAACCACCAAATCCACAGCATTAAATGCGCTTCCCACCAGAATCTGGGTTTCCCGCCTAATCCGTGGAGACGAGCGTCCCCCAGGATCGGGGCTTGCTCCTGATGATTCTTGCAAGGGTTGTGGGCCGTTCGTATTTTGGCCCTTGGGAGAATTTGTTATATATATTAGATTAGGCATCACGTGGTTACGGGCTTTAGGTGGTGACGTTCGTCGCCCTGACCTTTGCCCGTGGAGCGTGATCCATCGTTGTCCTGGCTGGATGCCCGTTGAGATGAGCTGCCTTGTTGGGTTGGACGTTCGTCCGAATGAGGGGGTAATGGGCTGATCCTCTAATTGGGCCATTAACTCAACAACACGTTAGCTGCTTACTTTGCGGTTCACCCTCCTTCATTAGAGTTTTTTTTAGTTACCCCAGGGGGCGTCAGGGGAGGGAGTTTGGGGAGCCTGGGGTAAACTTGGATCAATCTCACTCCATTGAGAATTGAACCCGGAATCTCTCATTAGAGTAAAATAACCAGATATGCTAGAGGTTAAAAGAGTATGTTATAATGAATCTCAATAAATCAAATTTTAGAATTTTCTCTTTCGTATTGAGTACATATAAGGAAGATTTTAAAATTCCAAGTGATAGAAAATCATAAAAATGTATAAAACTGAAGGGTTTGTCAATGAAAAGTGATTGCTACAGAGCTTGTTGAGAGCTTGAAATATGATCCTTTTGGATTCACGAGCTTGTTGAGAGCTTGAAATATGATCCTTTTGGATTCACATTCCTATTGCGTTCAATGTACACATCACACATTATTGGGCATTATCCCACATGCGCAACATGCGTTATAAAACTAGTTTTATTCATATAATGGAATGCTGAGAGCAAACCAGCGTAGTGTTTACCCCTTACTAGCGCTGGTTAACCGTCATGCATGCGGTAAACACCACGTTGACTAACCAAATCAACTCTAATGTTTATGAAACTTAATCACGACACGTATTAAGTCATAAACAATCAAATATATACCCTTATGGCAATTCAAAATATCATCTGTATTTATATGCATTTTAATCCATTTACATGCATCATATGGTAGTTCAATTCATATAAGTTCAATCACCTTGGTTAATCACATGCTTAAACACTTTCAAACATCGTCTTTGAACACATATAACATTTCTTTAGGTAATTTCATACTTAACTCAAGAGTTATAAGACATTAAGTTGTTGACTCACTTATATGAGCTTTACGAAGTTCTACCCTCTCCAGTTTGCCTCCGGTGAAACTCGGTTGACCTTCGATGATATCTCCGACGACTCCTCCACTTCGTGAGAACACTGAGAACAACTTATACAAGTCCCTACCAAGGTTTCATCATTCCGAAACCCCATATTAATACAAATAACCTCTAAAAAAGTTATTCTGCGGTGAATCGGTAATCGCTGGCTTCTAAGTCCGTTCTTGAACACATACCTCCTTGTTTCTAGATGGCCAAATAATACTTGTACGAAGGATATGCGAATGGTGGCAGAAGATTTTCTAAAGTAGAAATGAACAAAGAAAAAGAAGCTTATATACGAAGGATGCAATAGATATATGAAGGAGACGTGAAATCAAAGGGCACAAATGGAGTAAAATAGAACCACCAACTCTAAATACCGCTCACGATGCGTCTCAGATTTCAACCTTTTGGACCCAACAAGTTAAACCAATTATTCATTTACTAAATACATAGTAGTAATTTTAGTTGGCTAAATGGTCAAAATCGCTAATTATAATTAAATAATTCAAAAGTTGACTAATAAGCCATTTTCTAAACCTGGCCAGAAACAATTTGTAAATATACTACTACGTACGGAGTATTTAATAAACTAACTTCTAATGAGTAAGTATCTTGGGTCTGATAGATCACTGTGACACTCCTAAGGAGTAGATCACGGTCTCTCATGTTTGAATCTCATCTCAATTCAAGAATGTTGACCTTAACAAAATAGATATATAATACATAGTACTACGTAGGTTAGAAAAGTTTGAAAAAAAAAAACTAACCGCTAATTACCAAAATGTCTATTGTGTCAATATTGCGGGAAAGTGAAAAAGAAACTAAGAACATCTCCAATGCTACAATGTGCACGGTGCACATGTGGCATGAGAGATATAAACAAAAAATATTGATTTTATAACATTTCTCTCTCCTTCTTTCCATGGCCTTATGCGATTTTGGTAAGTTTTTGTCTGCAATGTCAATCACAATGTCTACATCTAGACATTGTGCTTGACATTGTGAAGAAAAACTTACCAAAATGATGTAACATGCTTCAAACAAGGAGAGAGATAATCTATATATTGTTTTTTAATTGATTATTTTTCATGTCATGTATGCACCATTAACGTTTTAAATTGAAGATGCTGGTTTAAAACCACGTGGCACAACCGGTTCGGGCCAATCTTCATCAATCATCAAGAAGAAAGGCTGTTTATTTTTGTAAAAAACAAAGGTCCATTCTCCCGGCCCGGATAATCCAGAAACCGGAATGTCCATTTCTCTCCGTGTCTTATCGCGGTTCGAAGCGCTTCTCCCTGTCTTCTGCTCTCGCTCATCGTCAAAGGCAGACCTCCACATTATCAGCTTTGATCAGTAAATTCATTATTTCATTGTTACCAATCATTGCGATGAAGGGTTCGTCGGAGACGAGGTTCTTGCAGGAATTGATCTTGTACGCCGCCAGCGCCGCTCTAAGTTGCCTGGTGCTCTTTGCCGGTCTCCGCCATCTTGACCCGAACCGCGAGGCTTCAAAGAAAGCCGTCGAGCACAAGAAGGAAATCGCCAAGCGTCTCGGCCGTCCGTTAATCCAAACCAACCCCTATGAGGTCTCTTTTCACTCCTCACCAACCCTTTCTCGTGATTTATGTTTTATAAGAATCTTTGTCCCATAAAGTGCTTCTACTATGTATGCAATTTTATTGGAGTAAGAATTGAATTGATATACTTCGAGTTGATTCCTCGTGGAGGTTGAAACCAAAAGGGATGCAGCCTAAATCTTAGCAACTAAGTATATTATTATGCTCGAGTTTATAGTGCTAACTAGTTCTACAAAATTAATTGAATTGACTATGAATACCATGCTACTCAGTTTTTTCCCCTTTTGTTAGCGTTGCAAGCGATGAGGGATTGAATGTTCACAAATTTTATTCAGATGTCCGTAATCTTGTTTTTACTTTATGAAGTGAGATACCTATTCATAAGATTAGTAGGGTCGTAACCAAGATTCACCTCAAATTTTTTTGTTCCTGCAACGGGCTGATATACTGGCAGTGGCGGATCTAACATTTCCATTTAGGGCGTTCAAAATTAGTTTACCATTAATTTTTTAAAAGCATTGTTGTATGCAATAACACTACACATTTATCCTTGTCAAACAAAAAAATAGCTCATAGGAAAATCACCAAATTTCTCAAAATGTTGATGGACAAGAAGCAGGCTTCTGAATTTTGCTAAGCTTCATTTTGGTAATGCATTATTTTGAATTTTTTTGGGTGTTCAATTGAACACCTTTGAACAACATGGGATCCGTCACTGTATACTGGTCTCTGCATGTCTGCATGTCTGTTAGAACTTAGAGTAGGGTGAGTGTTCAATTTGTTTGATTATGTCAGAGGTGAGTGAGATAGTCTTTCCATCATTCCAATGGAGCCAAAGACTAACTATTTTTTGGCTTGGGAATATGATGGAGTAAAGCAAAATGGCTTACTAAACTATCTGCTCTTCTTTGTTATGAATTAACAGTCAGTCTATGCAATTTTTGACGCGTTTTTCACTATGGGTCATTCGTAAACAGTCTTTCTGTGCTCTAGTACAGGGGTAAGACTGCGTACATCTGACCCCCTTACCCCACCACAGGTGGGAGCCTTTGCGGCACTGGGGTAATGATGAATGATGATGATGTCAGAGGAGAGTTAGTAAACAAGATTTTTCTAAAGTTCATTGCACCTGCAATTATGCAGTTTCTACACACATTTATCCTTGTATAATTATTATTCAAGACTGCATTTTTGGACTGGCGTATTACAATAAGTCTGCTAGCTAAAGTGCCACATATGGAATCCTGTCACGTATATGTATTTTGCACTTCGTTTTTTAGTGCTGTTCAGTTTTTTCTTTTTCTTTTTTCTGTTTGTCAAAATTCCCTCTTTTGTGGGTGCACAGGATGTAATAGCATGTGATGTAATTAATCCTGACCATATTGATGTGGAGTTTGGTTCTATTGGTGGACTGGAAACTATAAAACAAGCATTATACGAGTTGGTGATTCTTCCTCTACGAAGACCAGAGCTGTTTTCCCATGGAAAGCTTCTTGGCCCACAAAAGGGTGTGTTGTTATACGGGCCACCTGGAACGGGCAAAACAATGCTTGCAAAAGCTATTGCAAAAGAATCAGGAGCCATCTTCATCAATGTTAAGATTTCAAATCTTATGAGCAAATGGTTTGGTGATGCCCAAAAATTAGGTGAGTTTTAAGCATTATCTGTACATAGTTTTGCACTAAGTCACTTTCTCTCCTTAGTTTTTTCCAAAATGTGGTATTTTGGTGTCTCCCTCGGTGTTAAGCCTGATCATATTTTATGTGCTATAACCTTGAAGTGGCTGCTGTATTTAGCTTGGCATATAAGCTCCAGCCTGCAATTATATTCATTGATGAGGTGGATAGTTTTTTGGGTCAAAGGAAGACTAGTGATCATGAAGCATTAACTAATATGAAGACTGAGTTCATGGCTTTGTGGGATGGTTTCACCACAGACCGTAAGTTCTTTCCTGGACTATAAGTTTGGTTTAAAACATTTGGTAGTGTTCTGTACTCTATATTTGGGGTCTGTCTGGCCTATAGCTTGTTTCTTTGTTTTAGAGCTTATTTACTCAAAAAAGCATAAGCCGGGGGTCATACACTCGAGGTATGTTTGGATAGAGGGATTTGGCGGGGTAGATTTAGACTATCTTGATAAATATAATGTTTTTAAAAACGGATTAAAGGGATTGAGGTGTTATACCATCACATAATATGTTTATGTTCATCTTTCAACATTTCAAAATCACAAATACATGATGATACATAAATTTAACCCTCCAAATCCTTCCCCAACAGACCCTCTATCTAAACAGACCCCTATAGACCCTGGGAAACAGGAAACACCAGAAAACGTTTCTGAGATATGGGCGTTTGGGCCGGGTTGGGGAAACGTTCCTGAAATGTTTTTTAATTGGACCAACACGTTTCTTAATTAAAAAAAAAACTTGAGTGGGCAGTCAGCCGCACTCCCTATTGGCAAACCTTGCTGAAACAATACCTGAGATTTGCTACTCCTCACTCGGCAACGATGGTCGGCGGGAAGAAGAAACTCAGAAAGTCCGAGTCAGACTTGAAGTGTTGAATTAGCCAGCGACGCACACGACGGTAGGCGCACAGAGTATCGGGCGACGGGCATCTGCTGACTCCTTGTCTTCCTGCACTGCTGGAAGTCTATTGGGTATTTGGGTGAGGCAGTAAATGGATTATAACAAGGAACATTTGGTTTTATTTATTTTGTATTTGTTGGATGTAAACATGACCTATATTAGTAATTATTAATTAGTAAAATTTTAATTTTTAGTTCGACATTTCCTTACCGTACCCGTATCTTGATATTTTGAAATTAGAGTTTCCCCGTCCCTGTTTCCGTCCTTGTGCTACTTAGAATAGACCTTTAGGGTATGTTTGGCAGTTTTGGGGAAGGAGAAGGGAAAGTTCTGAAGGTTAGGTGTGGGAGGGGGAGGGGGGGGGGGGAAGTGAAAGAAACCCTTCTTCCTGTTGGGGAGTTACAAATCCAGAAAGAGGAAGGCTATGGATAAATTATATTTAAAAATCACTTCAGAGGTATGCTGTATGGGCTATAGTTGTTATTTAATGGCCTTTTATAATGAAAATTACCAAATAAATATGGAAAGACTAAAAAGTGACCTCAAAAACAATATCCCAACAATATGACTAGAAGTTGTACATGCAGGTTGAAATCTTAGAAACTACCATTTATAGATTAAGTCAACCAACCGTTTACATACTACAAAATTGGCTGCATTGAATCTTATTAGAGTGTAACTGAAATCCAGAAATGATGGAATTATACATTATTAAACACGCTAGGCCATGTCCAGAATCCATTTTCGGCACTGCTACTGGCTACACTTCTGCTGCCGCCGCCGCCGTTAGTGACCACATGGTCACTTACATATAATTCACAGTGACTAACAAGTGTTTGGCTGAAAGTGACTATCTAGTTAGTGACTCCGTCACCCCAAAACCCCAATTACTGACTCAATCGCCCTCCATAACTCCAAAAATGACCCACCTCCCCAACCCATAGTAAAAACGCTCCTAGTGACCTACCCTTAATGACGCGTGTTCAGTGACTTGTGTTTAGTGACTTCTAGTACTCAACACCTTCGCGGTTGTGTTTAGTGACTTCCTAGTGCTGAACACCTTAGTGACTAACTCAATCACTATCTCTGTCCACCACCGGGCATCACAAAACAGCCTTCACCGAGCAACAATTTATAATGAGTTTATATATGAGCATCATGGTTTTACAGCCACCTACAAACCAATCAATAATCCTACCACAAAACCAAATCCCGCCACCGGTGGCGACCGCCAGACCCAAGGGCACAGTGACAAGCCCCACCAACCGCAGCACCGCGGCCTCCTCCATTAGGCCACCCTATCCCCTTCTCAGCACTTCCACCTTAGCCCCACTAGAACTGCCCCATCTCCGCCCTACACCCAAGGTTATTAAGATCGCGAGTTAGATCGCTGAATCGTACAATGTTACGCGTTAAGGTACCAGGGACGAGGTGAATGGTACAAAAAATCGGAAATCTCATCAAACTTGACGGATCGTCGAGTAAGATCGTAAGCTCGTAGAATCGCCGATCTATGTCGATCTTCGTCATCCATGCCTTAGCGAGAGACTACGACCCAACTTGTCGGAAAACCCAAACGACTGCGAGTCGGAAATAGAAAAGGACCCAAATATTGAATATAGAAAAACATTTACGCAACACAACTCCCCTATCGACGTACCTGAGCGGCGACCAGACTCACAGCGACTCACCTTCTTCTTCACTTAATCAGTTCTATAAAAAGGCTGGGGAGTGTCGCACTATAGTCGCGTACTCATGTCTGTCGATCAGTTCTCCGTCTAATATTTTTTCAATTATCCGCATAAAGTTCTCTTCGTCCCTCTCTGTTTAGACTTTACAGTGTTTTGTTCTGTTGAATCTGTTCTTCAAGTGGTTCTGGAAGAGTCCCAGACTCCCAGAAGTTCCAAGTGTTTTAAACTTTTAATTCAAAAATGACATAATGTTATTCATATTTCAAAAGTTTTAAGTTTAAATATATATAGTGTGCGTGTGTATACACACGCGCGCGCGCACACACACACACATATATACACATGGTATCTTTGTTTTTAGGATCTTACAATCCGACTTACGATCCACGAGTTACGATCTCCTTGCCCCTACCCGATCCGAGCTAGGATCTCGAGTTTAACAACCTTGCCTACACCTAGCCCCAGCCCCTGCATAACTACTCCATCCCCGCCCAACCGCCCAGATCTGAAAATAAAACGCCCCCAAATTTGATCCAAATTCTGAACGAGAAGGGTAGAACTTAAGAAGAAATCTTGACTAGTTGTATGGACATCGGAGTTCCGGAAGTTTGCGAAGAAGATGAAGGCGGAGTTGTGGACAGAAGAAAGAAGATGAAGGATTAGCGACGGCGTCAACGACTGGTGTGCGGCGGCGGAACTATTGGCGGCGGCGGAAGCTCCTGTATGGTTTGTCAAGGTAGATGCGGAATGCAGATGCTGAAGATGGAATGGGTTGAGATGTCAAAAAATCAATCATCATTTACCCCAGTGCCGCAAAGGCTCCCACCTATGGTGGGGTAAGGGGGGTCGGATGTACGCAGTCTTACCCCTGTACTAAAGCACAAAGAGACTGTTTCCGGATGACCCATAATGAAAATTGCGTCCAAAGTTACATGGACAGATTGCTGCTTCATAACAAAGAAGAGTAGCCAGTTTGGTAAGCCATTTTGCTTTATTCCATCATATTCTCAAGCCAAAAAATAATGAATCTTTGACTCCATTGCAAATGATGGAAATAAATTAAATGATATTAAATGGCAGTCAGTCAATAATTAAAATAAAGTCATAATTAATTAAAATCAGGCCACTTTTTTGAAAAAGGAAAGAGTAATATTTTTGGAAATGAAAAGTCTACTAGTAATATAGAGGTCATTTTTTTCTCATTTAATTAGTTATTCTTTAAAAGAAAACCCCCAGTTTGGGCCTTTGGGGGAACTAAAAAACTGAGTATTCAAAGGGTTTGAAGGGTTACAAGGGGACTCCAAAACCATCCCTTCCATTTGTTTTAAACTCTAAACAAAAAACGGAGGGTCATAAACCGTCCTCACCCTTCCCCTCCCTTCCAAAACCTAACTCCCCAAACATGCGTTAGGGTCAATTTGGATGGAGTGAAGACTTTGGAGGTCTGTCTATAACATTACTTACTATGTTTAACTTTCTGCTTATGAAACTTCAATTTTATATATAAATGTATAAATTAAATACCTCCAAAGTCTTCCCTTTCAACCCCATCTAAAACCACTTATCCAATCAATCCTCAGGGTCAGTTATGATGGAAGGTTTAGGAGAGGAAGGCTTTGGACATTCTAGTCTATACCTTCATTAGTATTTTTGAAAAAATGCAGGCTGATTGAATTGTTCTAAGATAATCTGTTATGCTATTCCTCTAAATTTTATAAAATCTCAAATGTATAACAATATTTTGAATTAGCCCTCCCAATTCTTCCATCCAAACATACCATTTATCGGGAAATGAACGATTAAAAAAGCTAGTTGGGAAATGTCACTCATAGGCGTCTGATTCTTGTTCAATATTGCTTTGAACAGAAAGTGCAAGGGTGATGGTACTTGCTGCAACTAATCGTCCATCAGAGCTTGATGAAGCAATCCTTAGACGTCTTCCCCAGGCCTTTGAGATCGGGTTTCCTGATCGCCGCGAGAGAGTAGAAATACTAAAAGTGATCCTCAAAGGTGAGAAGGTTGAAGGCAACATTGATTATGACCACATAGCTGGTCTGTGTGATGGATACACTGGTTCTGATCTTCTTGATCTCTGTAAGAAAGCTGCATATTACCCTATTCGTGAACTTCTAGATGCAGAGAAAGATGGGAGGACATGCTCAGTAAGTTTTTTTCTTTTCTTTTCAGGAGGGTCTTCTTGTTTCTTGTGTGATAGTCTGGTTGGGTGACTTAAAATATTATTTTTAATTTCAAAACCCCTCACTCTGGTGCATCTTTTAAATAAGGACAAAGGCCCCTTTTGGTAACCCGGTTCACTTTATTTTTGGTTATTCTAATTGTAAGCAGATAATAAGTAGCTTTTGATGTGAATACGTGATGTTACCAAACACTTGTTGAAAAATCAGCAATTTCAGCCAAATAACTGTTACAAAACAAGCAGTTAAAAGCACTTTTCATGTCATTTCCCAACACTTCTTTATCAAGTAAAAAGTTCACTCTTTCATGTCACTTCTCTGAATTTCTAACTTTTTCCCCACACTTCACAGAGCGGACCGAGGGCTTTATCTGAACTGGATTTGGAGAAAGTGGTTACTAGTTCTAAGAATACAAAAACTGCTGCTAGTGAATACTATTCCAGATTAGGCTCCCAAATAGGAGGGTGGTCTCCAAGCGGGGAGCACAGTGATGATTATCAGGTCAAAGTTGCAATTAGTGAGCTCTCGAAGGTTGTGCTTTCTCAAATTGTGAACTTGCAGTCCGAGTCCCATGATTCTTGAGGCTAGCGTTCGTTCCTCACCATACTACTCATTTTTATAATGTTGTAAAATTTTGTTTAGCTCCTTTGTGCTATTGTATTGGGGGTCTGCTAGGATTTATATTAGTTCAACAGGGTTCAACTGGACATGTTTGATGTATGATCTGTATTATCTCGCTCCTACCCTGCTTTCTGTTTATTGGACACTCAACAGTTCTGAGTTGACCCGCTAAGCTCGACTGCTCGAGTTGCTTTTGCTGAAAAAACCCAGAACTGTATGAGGCGGACTTTTTAAACTGGTACTACGCATTTGTTTTTGCTTTTGGTCCCCTTTGTCCTTTTGAAATACATCACAATTGTAAACCAAGTAAAAGCCATTTTTTTTAAATAAATTTGTTGGAGAAATGGTAGAGATTCGAATGAAGTCCAAATTAGGATTTGTTGTCTGGCTCTGGCAGACAAATCTTTTGAACTTGCATGTATGAAAGTGACAATGGGGAAAATATCATTTAAGACTTTTCTACTTGTGAACGACAATTCAAATGTAGAGCATTACTGGTGGTTGGCTGTTTGTTTGCCGAACAGCCCTTAATAAATTGATTGGCTTGGGCTAAAAAGTACGGAGTATAAAATAACAGAGATAAAAATGACTTATGTATGGTTGAAAAAGACTTGTAAAAAGTGTACAAGTAGATTCATTCTTCAATACTGTAAGTCTGTAACAAAGAATATAAAAAGTAGTTTTATCTAATGATAATGTCTTTGGTTTTGGCCTTGAAAAAAATGAGGGCAGGTCCTTTTGATGGCAATGGGACAAGTGTCTGAACTCTGAAGTGATCCAACAATTACTCAAGTTCCCTTTGAAGAATTACTCAAGTTTTGAAATATATTACGGAGTAGGTTAAATCACAAGTTAAATTTTTGTTTTACGCTTTTACTCTAATGATTGACATCATTATAGTCTAGTTGAGTCATCATGACTTAGCCAGTTAGCCTTTACCTATTCTTTTCAATCAATTGTTCCAAAATGTGGAATCTCCCAGAGACCCAGACTCCCACCCAGGAGCCCCACACTCGGACAGAATGATGGAGGACTCCCTCTTTTCATTTAAGATATGAGGGCTTTGGTGTACAACTCCCTCTGATAAGTTACCTACTCTTGTCTCTTTTTATGTATCTTATTTTATTTTTTGAGTTATCTCGAAATAAATGTCACATTTTCTTTTTTTGAAAGAATATGTGATTCATAACATTTTCCCTTTTTAATCACTTTGTAAACATGGCAAAAAATAGTGAAACCCTTAAAGCCTCACGTGTGCTAATGTTTTCCATTATTTTCAAATCCATGTATTTTAATAAGAGAATTGCACTTTATGAGCTCCTATATGTTCTTAATTTACACTTCATGAGTTTAGTTCGAGAAAAGTTCATTACTATAAGTTCATTACACATGTTGTCATAGGAGGGATAATTGATATGCATATTTACTTATCATCCCAATAAAAAGCTTATAATGTTATCATGCCTAGTGAGAAGTCTCGAGTTCGAAATCCGCTAGGCACATAAGGGTTCAAAATTCAATGGCGTGAGTTTTAGTCCTAATTAATCCAAGCTTCCCTAGCTCCCTCCCCCAGAACCCCTCCCCTAGACCCCCCGGGAGTTAAAAAAAAGCTTAGGAGGTATAATTCATAATTTCATATGCGCATTTATTTTTTGGGGGGGTAATTTGAGTTTGCACCCCAAATTATTGTCTAAATTGGACTTTGCACCCCCTTTTTGAAACTCTTTGTTTTTGCACCCCAACCCCATATGAAAAGACAAAAATGTCCCTCCATTAACATTCATTATATTCTTGATTGAGGACATTTTTGTCTTTTCATATGGGGTTGGGTTGCAAAAACAAAAATTTTTAAAAACGGGGTGCAAAGTCCAATTTATATAATAATATGAGGTGCAAACTCAAATTACCCCATTATTTTTCATCCCAATAAAAAGCTGTAGGACATTAAAATAAAGGCTAAAGGGTCAAATTGGCCCTTGAACTGACTTAAAGTGTTCAATTAGCCCCTTATATAGGAGGTTCTGCCCGGCTGTCGCTAATTGGGGCGGTTCCTGGTGTAATTTTTGATGAAATTTTTTGAGAATCTTCTTTATTAAGTCTAGTTTACCCATACCAAATTTCAGCTAAAAATTCAATCGGGAAGACAGTCAAATGATTTTCCGAAATGTACTGCGCTGTTTAAATTTTACACTATTCACATGTTCTACTTTGACTACATTTTATTTATTGATGTATTAATATATTTTTTTTTGAAAAAAATATTATTAAATTTGTCTCGTTGTAAATTTTCAAAATATGTTTTTTTTTTAAAATTTTTTACTAATAGAGAATTATATATATTAATGGTCAAAGTTGTGTCTCGGCAAGTGTGAAATGTTGACTGTTGCACTTATTTAAGAACGGAGGAAGTATATGCATGCAAGATCCAGGGCCGGTCCTGTCTATTTTCGGGCCTATGAGCGGGATAATATTTTGGGCTTAATTCAAGAAAAATAATAAACTATATTTATTTAAAATAATAATTATAATAAAATTATCTAATAAAGGTTGTTGGGGTAAATCAAATAGTCACTAAGGGTATGTTTGGCACAACTAGCTAAAAAGATACGTTTACAAGCTTTTTAGTAACTGTTAGCTTTTAGTGACTGAAAAGATCTTAAAAAGAAAAGGTGATAGCTATTTGGTAAAAAGCTGACTGTTTGATTTAGTTCGATTTGGTATACAAGCTGTTAGGACTAATTAATACTAAAAGTCACGAGCTTTTCTCAGATGCTACACCTGGTAGCATCTAAAAAAAGATCTTTTAATTTTTAAAAAGCTCTTAAAACATAGCCTTGGGCTATGTTTGGCACACAAAAGTCGGTAGCTTCTAGCTTCTCTATTATTTAAAAAGAGATTAAAAGACTCTAGTTTTATGTTTGGCCCATAACTTTTATCAGAAGTCTGGGTCTTTTATGAGATGTTACCCTAGGTAGCGTTCAACCCAAAACACCTTTTCCAAATATTTGCCGTTCCTCACAATACCCTGCGCGCTCCTATCCTATCGTCGTCTTCAACACCAATCTCTTCTCTTCATTGATCTCTGTTCATAGCCATGTGTTCACTTCTTTTTTAAAAAAAAAACATCATTTACTAATCTGTAACCAATGTGCTGCACTTAAACTTGACAAATTCGAGTAAATTTTAGGTTAGATTCGAATGTGTTTCTATACTTTGTTTTTAGGAATCCAGATAACTTCTGTATTCTACCATTGAAATATAATGTAAAAACGATTGTACAGAAAATTAATATTTCTTTGTCTGCTTTGATTGTTTTTATTAGTAGTTCTCTCTGTTATTCGTTGCTATGGTAGTGTGTGAATAGGTTTTTCAACTCGCTGTTTTTCCTTTTATGTATTTGATTCTTTTAATGGATTTTTCCTGATTATTATGTTTATTGTGTTAAAGAGGTTGAGCAGTAGTTTAAAGTGTTGAATTTCTTCCTGCAGTTACAACAAAACATACTCTTGCTTTTTATTTAAAAAAATGTTAATATTCGTTTAATTTAGTTCTTCATAATTCTTTCCTTACCTTTCTCTCCGTGATCACTGAAATAAACTAATGTAATCAGAAAGCTTGGTGAATATGAAGTATTATGGTGTATCTTATTGATATGTATCAATGACTTGTGCATAGTTTTCATCCTTCCAGGTGTGTTGTCATTAATTAATACTATTGGTTCATGCCCTTAATTGTAATTTTATAATTTCAGCTACTTACAACAGTTAGTTTTGCCAAACATGACTATTTAAAACAATCAGCTTTTATGAAACAGTTACGGCATTTTCTATCTACAAGCTTTTCAGTTCAAAAAAGCTAACAGTTACTAAAAAGTTTAAAAAAGATCTTTTCAGCTTCTCGGGCCAAACGTAGCCCAAACATACAACTAGAGTCTTTTAAGATCTTTTTAAAAAATAGAGAAGCTAGAAGCTAGAGTCTTTTGTGTGCCAAACATAGCCTAAAAGCTAACAGTTACTAAAAAGCTCACAAAAGTATCTTTTCAGTTAGTATTATTTAGTCCTAACAGCTTGTATACCAAACCGAACTAAATCAAACAGTCAGCTTTTTACCAACTAAATCAAACAGTCACTAAAAGCTAACAGTTAATAAAAAGCTCACAAAAGTATCTTTTCAGCTAGTTGAGCCAAACATACCCTTACTCTAGCAAGCACTTTATCAATATAACGGGGTCTTTCGCAATAGCTGTTGGTTGTTTAATTGGGTCCTCATAACCACCGGCTCTTATCTTTTTCTCTCATCCCTTTTTTATGGTAGAATCGTAGGAGCATTAGCGCCGATTTATCATTAATGATCCAATGAGGTTGGGAAATTTCAAGTAAGTCATACAAAATATGTAGAGCCCGTTTGGTAATACGAAAATCGGCTGTTTTGGCTGATACTAGTGAAATTTATGAAGTTCTGGCTGAAGTAGCTGCATTGGCTGATTCTGCTGATATAAGAAAAAAAAATTTAAACTATATTTTATTAATAAAATAAAGAAAAAATTATATGTAAAATAGCTAAAATGGTCATCTACAGTAACTTCAGCCAATACAGCAGGAAAAGTAACTTCAACCTTACTTTTTCTGTTTATTACACAATTCAGCGTGCGAAAGCAAAATTTTCGTGTTTGGTGAAAAAGTTGGCTAATAAGCCGAAAATCATGATTGTCAAACGGCCTCGTAATGCTAATCTAGAATCAACATGAGAAATAAAATGAGCATCAATAGGTAATCTATGGCCTAGTCTAGCAAAAAGTCTGCTGCCCGATTACCCTCCCGGTAAATATGCTCAACTATAACCGTCCGATTTCGATTTAAGAGCTCGCGAAACTGTGCGACCCCAGAAGAATGCCGGTGTGTGAGTTCAGCTTCTGACATCAAAAGTTTAATAGCTGCTTGCGAGTCCAACTGCATTCGTACCTTGTGGTATCCAAACTCCCAGGCAAAGTGTAACCTTGTAGAACAGCTCTCAATCCCTTTGTTCCTTCATTGTTCTCTATTCTGGTGTCCTAGGCGTAGATGAACCACACCAATCCATCTCTTTCGATAGACTATTTATATGCCATAATATAAATGTATCACTGTGATCTGATGGCATCACCGATGACATTCCCAGGAAGATTCAAATCAGTCTCAGTACAAGAATGTTGACATTAATGTAGAACATATACTATAATAGGTTGAGAAGTTTTGCAAAAAACTTCAACTTGTGATATTTTTTGTACCTTTCGTAATTACAGAACCACTTGTTAGTTAGTTGCAATTAAGCCCAACATGATGCAATGTTTGAT